TGGTTTTTATATTTCTTTTTGTTGATGTGTTGGATAACGTTGATTGATTTTCGGATGTTAAACCATCCTTGTGCCCCTGGAATGAATCCAACTTGGTCGTGGTGAATTATCTTATGGATACATTGTTGGATTCTGATAGCTAAAATTTTATTGAGGATTTTTGCATCAGTGTTCATTAGGGAGATTGGCCTGTAGTTTTCCTTTTTTGTGTTGTCCTTGTTCGGTTTTGGTATTAGTGTAATGTTGGCTTCATAGAACGTGTTTGGTATTGTCCCTTCCTTCTCAATTTTTTGGAAGAGTTTGTGAAGGATAGGCACTAATTCGTCTCTGAATGTTTGGTAGAATTCATTTGTAAATCCATCAGGTCCTGGGCTTTTGTTTTTGGGGAGGTTTTTTATTACCATTTCAATTTCGCTAATTGTAATTGGTCTGTTTAGGTGTTCTATTTCTTCTTTATCTAGCTTTGGGTGATTGTAGAGTTGTAGGAATTTGTCCATCTCCTCTAGATTGTTAAACTTGTTTCCATATAACTGTTCATAGTAGTTAGTAATTATTCTTTTGATTTCTGCTGTGTCCGTTGTGATTTCTCCTCTTTCATTGATGATCCTGTTTATTTGTGCTTTCTCCCTTTTTTCCTTTGTGAGCCTGGCTAGGGGTTTGTCTATTTTATTGATTTTTTCAAAAAACCAGCTCTTGGTTTCATTGATCTTTTGGATTGTTTTTTTAGTTTCAATTTCATTTATTTCTGCTTTGGTTTTTATTATTTCTTTTCTTCTACTGGTTTTGGGGTTTTTTTGTTGTTCTTTTTCTAGATCTTTGAGCTTCGAGATGAGGTTGTTTCTTTGCGTTCTTTCTTGTTTCTTGATGTGAGCTTCTATTGCTATATATTTTCCTCTTATTACTGCTTTTGCTGCATCCCATACATTTAGGATATTAGTGTCCTCCTTGTCGTTCAATTCAAAAAATTTTTTAATTTCTTCTTTGATCTCCTCATTAGTCCAATGGTCTTCCAGTAGTGTGGTTTTTAATCTCCATGAGGTAGGAAAGTTCCTTGCCTTCTTTTTATGTTTTATTTCTAGTTTGATGCCTTCATGGTCAGAAAAGATGGTTGATATGATTTCAATCTTGGTGTATCTGTTGATGTTTGTCTTGTGCCCCAGTATGTGATCGATCCTGAGAATGATCCGTGTGCGCTTGAGAAAAATGTGTACTCCGTTTTTTTGGGGTTTAGTGTTCTATAGATGTCTGTTAAGCCTAATTGCTCTAGGTCCTTATTTAGAGCTTTGGTTTCTTTACTTATTTTTTGTCTTGTTGATCTATCCATTGTTGATAGTGGTGTGTTGAAGTCTCCCACTACGTATGTGTTTTCTCTGATGTCTGTTTTCAGAGAGGACAACAGTTGTCTGATATATTTTGGTGCTCCTTCGTTTGGTGAGTATATGTTAATGAGTGTTATTTCTTCTTGAAGTATTGTCCCCTTGATCATAATGTAGTGACCATTGGGGTCTCTTTTTATCTTTTTGAGTTTGAAATCTGTTTTATCTGATATAAGTATAGCTGTTCCTGCTTTCTTTTTTGTCCATTTGCTTGTAGGATTGTTTTCCATCCTTTAACTTTGAGCCTATTTTTATCTTTTGTAGCTAAATGTGTTTCCTGGAGACAGCAAAAGGTTGGGTTTTGTTTCTTAATCCAGGCTGCAACTCTGTGTCTTTTTATTGAAGAGTTTAGTCCATGTACATTTAGAGTTAATATTGATATGTTAACATCTGTATTTGCCATTGTGTTTGTCTTTCCTTTGATTTTATTTATTTATTCTTTTAATAACTTTTTTTTTTTTTTTGGCCTTCTTTCATTGTTATTCATCCCTCTGAGGTTCTGGCTTTAGGACTCCTTGTAGTATTTTTTGGAGTGGGGGTTTAGTTGCAATGAAATTCCGGAGTTTCTGTTTGTCTGGGAAGGTCCATATTCTTTCTTCAAAGAGGAAGGAGAGCTTTGCGGGATAGAGTATTCTTGGTTGGCATCTGTTTTCTTGGAGTCTGTTGACTATGTCCCTCCACTCTCTCCTTGCCCGTAGTGTTTCTTCGGAGAAGTCTGATGTCAGCCTGATTGGCTTTCCTTTGAATGTTATCTGTTTCTTCCCTCTTGCCAGCTTCATTATTTTTTCCTTGTCCTGGATTCTTGGGAGCTTTACTATTATGTGTCTTGCTGTATTTTTCCTTTCGTCGTGGAAGTTTGGTGTTCTTCTTGCTTCTTGTATATCAATTTTTAGCTCCTTCTTCACATTTGGGAAGTTCTCTTCAATTATCTCTTTGAATATTTTCTCTGTTCCTACATCTCTCTCCTCTCCTTCTGGTATTCCTATAACTCTTATATTTCCTTTCCTCATGGAGTCAGATAGTTCCCGAAGTCTTTCTTCGTTCTTTTTCCTTCGTACTTCTCTTTCCTTTTCTGTTTTGGTTCTTTTTATTTCTGTGTCTTCAAGATTACTTATTCGTTCTTCCATTTCATCTATTCTGCTTTCATTGCTTTTCCCAGAATTCTTTAGTTCTTCCATTAATTCTTTGATCTCCTGCATTTCTTTTACTTCCCTCTTTAGGGACTCAATTTCTTTCTTCTGACCATTGTTTTCCCTCTCTAGGGACTCAATTGCATTCTTCTGATCGTTGATTATTTTTCCCTTATCATTGTTTTCCTTTATGACTTCTGTCAGTTTTTTAATCACGGCAATTTTAAATTCTCTTTCTGGAAGGCTCAGAAATTCTTCCAAGTTATTGTCTTTGTAATCTGGGGGCTGGCTTTCTTTTTGTGGTGTGCTTTTTCTCTGGAGAGTTGCTAGGTTGCGTGTGGTTCTTCTCCTCCCTACTGTCTGTTTTCTAATTTGCCGTATGCGTTGGGACACTGTGTTGTTGGGACTCTCCGGCATCTTGGGTGGGCTTCTCTGTTCCCCTCTAGTTCTTCCAGGAGTCATCTGTCAGTTTCAAGCAGCCTTTAATGGAGAAAGGTCCCTGTTCTAAAATGCCGATGTGGGTACACACTCCCCTGTGCGCCTGGTCTGCCCCGGCGGTGGGTTCCTGCTCCCCTCTGGGCTTGGACTGCAGGCCAGAGGGGGTCTGGCGTGGGCGAACTTCCCCCGCTCACCTCTGGCTCCTGAGGAAGCCTTCTGCAGGTAGTCTTTACTGAAGAAATGTCCCTGTTCTAAAATGGTGATGTGGGACACACTCCCTGCGCCTCTGGTCTCAGGCACACTCTTCTGCGCGCCTGGTCTGCCCCGGCTGTGGGTGCTCGCTCTCCCTGTGGGCTCAGACTACTTGTTCGGAAGGAGCCAGGTGTGGGCTAACTCCCCAGCTGGCCACTAGCTCCTTCAGTAGCCTGTGCTGGGGTCAAGTCGCTAGGTGGCGCCAGAGATCTCTCCTAGAGCCCTTGGGGAGCTGATTTTCCACCCCGTGGGACAGGGAGCAGAGCGGGGATGGTAGGGTACACCTCAACGGCTTTGGGGTGCTGTGTCTGCCTTGTGCCCCACCGTCGTGGGGAACCCACGCCCCTAATTTCGTGCCCCGGGTCTCAGTTCCAAAGCCCTCAGTTCCAGGACTCAGGCTGTAGTCCAGATCAGTGGCGCGGGAATGGCGCCTTTTGAATCCCGCTCCCCTGCCTGGGCGCCTTGTTCCTGCTCACTCAGGGAGGGCCTCCGCGGTCTCCCCGCAAGCCTAGGTCGCAGGCGCGGGGACCTGGGCAGCTGCAATCCGGTCTGGATCCGCGCCACTTTCCGCGCAAGCTTACCGGGCGGCCGGGGCTGTGTGCTGGTGCCTTACCACTTTCTAGTGCTTTCATATAGTCACTGATTTAATTGACTGTCTGGTGAGATGGGCATTATATTGTCTTACCTTACAGATGGGGTAACTTAGAAACAGTGAAATAAGAAAGGTACTGTATGACGGGAGCAGTGCCACATAGACAATAAGTGACAGACCAGGGTCAAACCCAGACCAACAGACCCAGAGCTGCTAGCACACATGCACTTTACTGCTGTGAAAGTTCCAGAAGTCCTTGTTCTGGCAGTTACGTGAATATTCCTTATCTCTCACACTGAATCTCTAAATGTCTAACAACAACACTATTTAGAGAAGAAGTTTCACGTCTAGCCTCCTAGCATTTTTCTGTTTCTAGTTTCATATGGTGTCTTTCTTCTTCCATAAGTCATGTCTTTTATCCACACAATTATATTCTGGACCTCTCTAGAATGCACCTGCATCTCCCTTTTGATTTGCTCAAACCATTTTCCTTACCTTCTTTTCAGAATGCCCCCTTTCTTTCAAGGAGTTCATATTCAAATAACCCTCATATTCAAATTCCTCTTTTGCTGTGAAGCCTTTTCATGTCACTCTAGTCCACAGTGTTTTTATTCTCTTAAAGTCCTATGGTATTTAAAAAGTGGATTTTGAGGTTAACCTTTGAGTGTCAGAGTCGCTATCACTGGGTGATCTGAGGCTGATGGGACCCAACCTCAGAGGTCACAGTAGAGTAAGGGAAAGCAAGGGGAAGCAGGCCTTCATGGCTGTGGAATATGCACTCTAGTAGATGACGTGTTGCGATAGTGCTCCCCTAAAGGAGTGACAGATCAGCTCCTCCTGGAGGAGTTAGACAGCTTCAGATAGAGACCACGCTCCCTGAGCTAGGCTTTAAAGACTGATGAGAGGCTTGTCAGGTGAAAAATGCAAACAAGACAGCAGGGAGAGCAGGCGAAGAACACCTGAGAATTGTGAGAGCATGGTGACCCGGAGGCCAAGGGAACCCCTCTTTGCACCAGAGTTCAAGTTCATGTCTTCTGTAAAACTGCAATGTATTTATGCCGGTTGTTTCAGCTGGATGACAAGCTTCTTGACATTTACCCATGTGCCCTTCACATAGTAGGCACTTAATTATTTCCACCGTGCATTCTTCAAACCAAGAGGTTGTGGACTAATGTGATCAGATGTGAATAGTTTTGTTTTGTGTTTGCCTAGACCAAGGATGCTCTCTTCACTATTCTCCATGATCTCCGACCTCAAGATCATTTCAGTATCATTGGATTTTCCAACCGGATCAAAGTGTGGAAGGACCATTTGGTATCAGTTACTCCTGACAATATCAGAGACGCCAAAATCTACATTCACCATATGTCGCCTTCCGGAGGTAAATATGAGTCCTTTTCACTGAGCTTTAATGTGATAATGAGTGGGGAGCTAATTTTCTGCCAAGAGATGAGGATTTGAAAACTGAAGCTGATCACAGGAAAGGAGATAACAGGTGAGAGTTTTCCCAGAAGCTTATGTTTCGCTAAACACCAAACCTCTAAATTTTCCTTTTCCAGGCCCCAAACTAAGATGGTCATTTAAGTTATAGGGGAGAATACCTGATAGGTTTTGGAACCTTTCCTGGCTTATCTCTTGGATCCTGAACAATGAAGCTGTTTTTGTGCGTTGCCTTTGCATGGAGAACTAAAGCTAAATAGACGATCCAATGATTTGTGTGCTTGAATATTAGCACCAGAGGAAACAGCAGATGGAGCTGAGTCGCTCATCCTCTGGATGGGCTGTGACAGTGGGTATGGCGTGAATCCCCTGGGGAAGGTGGGATATGGTAAATGAGAGGGGAGGATGGTGAGCTGAGTCTTGGCACGTATGGCTTCGGTGTGTGCCGAGGTCAATGTGCAGAATGCTGAAAGAGGAGGGAAAAGTTCGTAAGAAATTCTAAGATTGGAGAAGTAGCACTGTGTGTTCTATGCTATGGGTAAGATCCTTCAACTCAGGACCTGGGTCTTACTCTTGCTATTATCTGTGTCACAGTGACTCAGGCCAGGTGTGCAGTACTGGTGTATTCAGTGCGCTTGAACCTGATTGCCACAAATCCTACCCCCTTTCTTAAAGACCCTTTATAGGGATTCTGTTTCCTGAAGTTGTGGTTTTCATTAATCCTGCCTTGGTTATATGAAAATATGTAAAACAGCCAGTTCATGCTTCTTCCATTTGAAAATTTTCCTGTTTCATATATTCATTATCTCCTATCAAAACAAAGCCCTTACTTCCCAAATGAGCTTCATTTAGAACTTGACTTTGCTTGACAGACTTTGAATTACCATGGGATTTCCTATCAATCTCCACAATGTGGTCTAGGATTTTTTTTTTACTGGTTGATGGGAGAAATAAAAAAATGAGATTTGATGTTATAGTGATGGTCTATAGTCAATAAGACTGAAAGTCCTTGAGGAAGAATTCTTCATCTTTGTGCAGCCCCCAATTCCTTGTGTAGTTGTTAATATACACTACCTGATCAAGGAGTATTTACTGAACTAAATTTACATTGGAATGATGAGCTTTAGAAAACACCTCATGTGTGTTATGTTCTTTTGGAATCCAAACCATAAAGATCTCATTGGTTTCTTTTATTTTTTCCTCCACACTTCATTGCTTCCAATCTCTGCAGATGGACAGAAAATTAATCTGCTCCTCTCAATAAGTATAATGTCAAGCTTGGTGACATAAATTCTGAAACGAGACCGCCCATATTTTGAATCCATCTCCACCATCTATGAGTCATTTAACTTCTCTGTGCCTCAGGTTCTTGAGCTGTAAAATGAGGGCTAAAATAGAGTTATCAGGATAAAATGAGTTAAGATATTTAAACTACTTAGAATAGTAGTTGGCTGGCTCCCGGGAGGTTGACTTCAAATGTCTGATATGGCCATTTGTACCTGCCTGCGAAGCCCCCTTGGGGCACTTGGGTCTTTGAGGAGCCTGGGTGAGTTCTGGATGAATAATAGAACCCTCTGTCCTATTGTCCCCATGGACCAAGCCTCAATGAGGGAAAGAGGGTGGGAGATGTTCAACTTACCATAGGCGGCCCCAAACCCTCCTTACATTTGGACACACATAGATATACATTTTTTAAATTGAGGTAACATTGGTTCACAAAATTATATATGATTTAGAGGAATAGGATTACACCCTTCAGCTGTATATTACCATATCACACTCACCAAATGGCACAGACAGTCGTCCACCATAGTTCGTTGAATATATGGTTTTTTTAGCTAGAAGTTCTGGGGGATGTAAAGCAATGCGGGAAGGTATCTGGTTTACTCAAACATAGCATACTTTGTGGGTAGATAAAATTACTCTGGTAAGGGAAGTGGTTATAATTGATTGGTATAAAATGATTGGTATACAATTCAACAAATTTACTGAAATAGTGAGTTGTGCATTAAAAATGGGTGATGTTTTGTATGTACATTTCATCTCAATAAAACATTGGAAAAAACACATTGGAGTCATTGAAAGGAAATCAGTGTTTAGGTCAACTGTGAGATCTCTTGATTTCACTTGGTGATGGGAAAACAGTGGCAGCAGAGTTGAATGAAAGCCTTAGATAATCCAGAAAGCTCATATTAGCTGCAGTTTTGACCTCATTGTATAAACCATCAATCTTTACCACCCACCAAGCAAATGCCTGTCTAGCACATTGTCCCCTGTCTTTAATCAGTGCTACAAATGACAAGCGCCTCTGAGGGGAAAGTGGCAAATCTGGAGATGGCAAATGTGAAACTTCTGCTTTGTGGGGGTTCTGATAGGCAGAGGTAATCTGAAGGTAGGAGGCAAGAAAAGGTGAGATGATGAAGGCAATAGGGAACTAGTTAGTTCTTTACTTACCACCTCCAGTCACGGTTAAAGTCACCTGGGGTTATCTCCATTGCCCCACATTCCCACTGCCAATGGGCAGTCCTTTCCTATTTCTCCCTCCAAATTCCTGTACCAAGCAGCATCCTGCTTTTCAAAGCTGTTCTCAGAAAAGGTGTCGAAGCCATTAATACTAAGGTATCTTCAGGTAGAGGTTATAATAAGGAGGATAATTCCGTGCCATTTCTATTCAAGTTTCTGGACAGATATGTGATCTGATACCACCCCATAAATGCAGTGGATTCTGTGCTCCCCCCTTTCTACCAGCCACACACACATACACCACTCCTGCTAAGGCGTGAATGGTTGTTAGTGGCCACAGCTCTGAATGTGCTACCAAGTTCAGAGTGTGATCACATCAGCTTGAGCTGTGCTGTTTTTGTGGTCAACAGGAACAGATATCAACGGGGCCCTGCAGAGGGGCATCAGTCTGCTCAATAATTATGTGGCGCACAATGACATTGAGGACCGGAGTGTGTCCCTCGTCATCTTCCTGACAGATGGGAAGCCCACGATCGGGGAGACTCACACCCCCAAGATTCTCAACAACACCAAGGAGGCAGCCCGTGGTCAGGTCTGCATCTTCACCATTGGCATCGGGAACGACGTGGACTTTAAGCTGCTGGAGAAGCTGTCGCTGGAGAACTGTGGCCTCACACGGCGTGTTCTCGAGGAGAACGACGCGGGCTCACAGCTCATCGGGTCCGTTTGTCTGTCTTCCCGGGGTATGATAGGCTCTCAAAGTGGGCATGAGGGCTGGATTCAGTGAGAGACTCAGAAAAGAGGATGTCTTGCTACATCTGAACCTGGAAACAAGTATACCTCATTACACTGGAGATGTCATAATGGGTTTTGTTTTTGCTGAATTACATTATTTTTTATTGAGGTAATAATTTAGGGTTACAACACGTACATCATGATGGGTTTTGAAACCAGGCAGATCAGGCTGCAAATTTTGGTTTTGCTTTGTGACTATAGGCAAAATTTAAGACAGGCTGTGCCTCAATTTCCTCATCTATAAAATGGGAATTATAGTTGGTTGAGAATTTAATGAGCAAATCAGTATAAAATACTAGCAGAATGGCTATTGTGTTAGGTATTCAATTAATTCTGTGGTTACAATTGTGTTCTTGACATTTCAAAGCACTTTCTGGTACATTTGTTCTAGATTCACTCTGTGAGGTACGTGGAGAAATAGTTACCTCCACTTTGAAACTAGTTCAAGTGATATTTTTATTTTGGAGTAAAATGACAGGTTAACACTGGTAATTGTATTATCTTTTGATCTTTTGAAGTAGAGAAGAAACTAGAACTTAGGTCTTCTAAATCAGTTCAGTGTCTCCCTACAGTTAACATGTTTACAAACATGAAACACAACTTTGTTGATGGTTCCAGGAGGTTCTGACTCGCATTTTGGCATAGATGCTTTAATCTGCTTTGTGCCATGTGGAGTATGTATTTAAGAGGAAAATAAGAAAAAAAGAAAAGGTGAAAGTTAAGCATATTTACAGGGTTTCATAGCCACAATCCAAAACCATTTATTAGTGATAAACCTATTTGGAGATCTCTAAGGTGGGCCATCAAATAGGTGGAAACTGCTGGAGGAAGATTTTGATGTACTGCAAGGAGGTTCTTCCTCCTACTCAGAATAATTGAAAAGACTCATGAGAGAGTGAGTCCTCTGTCACTAGTGGTGTTCAAGCCACTGCTGCATGGCTGACTGTCAGAAATGGTCTGGTGGATACAAGGTGGAACTGGAGCATTTCTAAGATCATCCAGCCCCCTGCCAGCCTACGATCTCGTTCAGGACCCACCTGCCTTTAGCCAGGACAGGACCCTGATTTTCCCTTTCTGTTCCTCCTCTCCAGGTTCTACGATGAGATTAGGACCCCTCTCCTCTCTGACATCCGCATCGATTACCCACCTGGCTTTGTGGAACAGACTACCAGAACGCTGTTCCCTAACTACTTTAACGGCTCCGAGATCATCATTGCTGGGAAGCTAGTGGATAGGAAAATAGATCAACTGCACGTGGAAGTCACGGCCAGCAACAGTAAGAAATTCGTTGTGCTGAAGACAGATGTGCCAGTAGAGCCCCGGCAGGCAGGGAGCACCAGGCCCAACCCTGATGGCAATGACCCCAACCACATGGAGCGCCTCTGGAGCTACCTCACCATGAAGGAGCTGCTGAGCTCCTGGCTGCAGAGCGGAGAAGAGCAGGAGAAGGAGCGGCTGAGGCAGAAGGCCCAGGCTCTGGCTGTGAACTCTCGCTTCCTCACCCCGTTCACTTCCATGAGGCTAAAGAAACCGGCCCTGCAGATAGAGCAGCTGGAGGACTCCACAGGCATGTCTGCTGCCACTGGGCCAGAAACAGTGATGCAGAGCCTGCACGGAACCAGCGCACAGCCAGGTACTAACACTGCAGTGGTGTGCATGTGCAGAGGCCAAGGGTCCCTTCCCGCCTGCTTTTCAGGCAGCCCCAGGTCAGCGGGCAGATGTTTTTATTATATTTTAGTTTTTTACAAACAAAAATCCTAAATGCAACCCATAATCTCTGGAGGCAGTGTTACGGTCGTGTGCTATTGTTACAAGCTGTACATCTCCTTAGGGAAACTAGAACAGGTGACATTTGTCTCAAAGATGTTGTCCAGTGAAGTCGGTCGATCGATAAAACATCAGTGCTGAGTACCTATCAGGCATCAGGCATTATGAGAACACCCAGTTGAGCATGCAAGTGTTCATTTAAGTGCCTTTCATTATTTTTAAGTACTTCAGGGTTAGTCATTGCATGTGTACACAGATTGTATTCCTGGAGAACACATGTGATGAACCAAGTTTTGGATTCTTGAGAATGTCCACCCTGTCCACACTTGTCACTCAGAAGCCAAACAGAAACAGTCACCATCAGTCCCTGTGCCATTCTGATGAGGGAATTAGTAACAAGAGCAGGAAAAGGAAAAGCAGTTCAACCAAAGCAGAGGATTATATTCTCAGTAATATCTGTTTGTAGGGAAAAAAACAGCACTGTTTTTATGCAAGAATTATTAAATTCCGGTCAAGTCCACATTTTCTTAGGAGAAGGAACTAACTTAACCCAGACCCTACAGCTGTCTCCTTTCTTCCTGACACTTGAAACTCAGAAGCTGCCAGGCAGGGGAAGAGAGCGTTATGTTAGGCTGCAGACAGAGCTGGGTTTCATTTCACTGACGGCCCTACGCTGCTGTGCATCTCAAGGCGAGTTCCTGAACCTCTCTGTGCTTCTGTTCCCTTGCCTGTAATATTGGGATAATAACTCTCCTGAAGGGCTATTGCAAACACTAAATGTGTAAAATCTTTGGTAGTCTACTAATGGTAGTCTACTAATGTGTACACAGATTGTATTCCTGGAGAACACATGTGATGAACCAAGTTTTGGATTCTTGAGAATGTCCACCCTGTCCACACTTAACACTCTCCCCTGAGGAGTATAGAACTAGCAATGCATTGAAGAGTTCAGACACTAATGTAGAGGTTAAGAACGATACGCTGCCTTTTTAGAAAGGGTGGAGTTTGTCTTGGCAAACCTAGCGCTATTTTAGTTCTGACGAAAACTCAGTTGCCTGATGTTCTTCCAGCTACAAGAGCAGTGCCACAGCCAGGGAAAATGACTTTGCTTCAGTTGCTTGGAGGGCCATCATATAAAGCTGAGAGGACCAAGAACACAGAAGAAGAAATAACCAACTGATTGGTCCAATGAATTGGTTGAAAGAAGATTTCCCTGAGGTGTCAGTGGTACTCAGGACAATCCTTAGAACTTTGACGATTATTTATTTTTAATTTGACTTATTTTGAGTGTCCATGGCAGCTGCTGCTCACCAGGGCCCCTCAAAGCAGCCACCCAGACTGAAAACGCCTTCCTCTTTCTTATTCTGTGGTTAGGAACCACTGTGGAGAAGGGGGGCACTTCTTAAATTGCTACAAATGTATCTGAAAGCTATGTTTACTCTTACTGCACCCCCTTCCATGAGTAATAGTGGTTGTTCTCTTCCTTCTCTTTAGGACCTGCTATCAAGAAAACGTATAACCCAAGAATTAAAATCTCTAAAACATCAGGTAAAGAATGAAGTTGTGTGTGATTTGAGAGTAAGGGATTTTGAAAAGTGGACACTCCTGAAGCCAGTTAAAATACCTCATAGAACAAGACCTCAGGACCCACATTTATTCAGCGCAAGCCAGCAACATGAGGCAGATGCTAAGACCCAGGTCCTGGTGAAACCATTATGTAAACACCGTGGATAACGCAGTCCCGGGAAGCTGGCAGGGGGCCAGTGGAGCAAGAGACAGAGAGCAGAAGCACATTTCATTGTTGTTGAGTTTAAAGACATTTGTTTTAGAAATCTGAAGTATATACATATGCTTTCAAGTTCTGGTGCTACACAGATCTGTGACATGTAGGCTTTTGTTTGTTTATTTTGGTTTTTTTTTTACCCTTAGTTTTAGAAGGAAAGAACAGATAAAAATACCATCAAAGTTTCCTTGGCCAGGTTCCTGGGACTATAATAAAAATCCACTGGAATAATCACACAAGGGCTGGCTTTTATTCTTATAATGTACACATCTTCCTTTGTTAGTCCCAATGATGCACTCGACATGCAAGCTCAGAAAGCCAGGGACATCCCGGAGCGTAGCTGTGGGGATAGAAGCTCAGTATGTCAGGAACAGGATGTCATTCCTGTGAGTACACACATGCCTGTGGAGTGCAAGATCTTCCTCTTGGGTGCCACCAAATTACTTTCAGATCTCCCTCTTTCTTGGAGCCCTCAACATTTTGCTTGTAAAGGGATTTGAGGATTTGAATAGAAACAAAGTGGTATGAGCCCAAGAAACTCAGCAAACTGTCATATAACCCTCTTCATACCTAAAAAGTGCCAAAAATGTGCACCAGAACTATTATCTCCTAGGGGGAGGGGGTCATACAGAAGACCAATACTTGTATTTCTTTGTATGTTGCCATTAACGGGGTACTTGAGGCATTTCACATGGAGATAACCCAGATTCTTTCAAGGGCCTTGGGTCATGGGTTTTTTTTTTTTTTTTTTTTTTTTTTAGAAGTAACACCAGGACATTAATTTGCTAGCAATTTGAAAACACTGAACTCCTGACCCCAACCCCGCCATATAGCTGCATATATATACATGTGCAATGAAGAACAGAAATTTAGAAACACCTTGTGTTTGGTATATAAACTAGAGAGAACTCAGTCTCCATCCTATGAGACAAGATAACTGATGTATTTATAGATTCTTGGGCTATATTTTGTCTTTGCTATAAAAGACGAGGCTGGTCCTCTTAAACCAGGGTGAAGGTGAGGACACTGAGCAAGGGATGGGGTCAGCTAAACTTTGTGATCTTATCTGTGGACAAAAATTTGAGATCAATGAAGTCAGTATGACCCACAGAAGGGATTTCCACTATCCTTGGTGACCCCTGCCTCACCTGTCACCACCCTAACTGGGCTCAGTCATTACACTGGCATGCAGGGTGGGTACCTCTGGTGCGGTAAATACCCCGAGGGCCATGGCACTCTTGGCCCTGGGGCAGGAAGGGTTCTCATTCACATCTCTTGATATGTAGGCAAATGAATAAACAAAGTGAAAGCAAGTGGTTTCGGGAGGCCACACCGGACATCGAAGACTGTGGGCTCGGTGGAAGAGAGGGGTGTGCAATACCTCTTCCCCTCTGTGCCCTGCCCACCTCTCAAGCTTTGCTGTGTGTCTGAGGTGAAAGAAACATTATATTTGCAATTAGGGGACCTGAATTCTTTAATGCATAGGAACTGTGCAACTTTGATGAGTCATTTCATCTCCATTCATCTTCCTCATTTAGACATCAAGGATGGTTGAGAGGGTTAAAGAAATAATTCATGAGAAAATATGAGTATTTAAAGGTGGAAATCACCCAACAGCTCTTCTTTTCTCTCCTGTTTCTTCCTGCACTGGCAGCGGATGGAGATCCCCATTTTGTCGTGGATTTCCCCTTGAGCAAGCTCACTGTGTGCTTCAACATCGATGGGCAGCCGGGGACATCCTGAGGCTAGTTTCTGACCACGTGCATGCCGGTAAGTCTGCCCTGCTTGTGGGGGCCTTGGCAAAGGCAAGGTCGGGGCAGAGCCTCTCTATAATTAAGATGGGCATCCATTATGTAAGGGGCACTTCAGAGATGCTCTGTGAGTACTGATGGCTGACTGAAGGAAGCAGACTGTGTGCTGGGGTTGGCATCAGGAAGGCCTGCTTGGAATCCTTGCTCTCTGACTCAGCCTTTGTTGTGACCATGAGCATTCAGCTCAGGTGCTTCAGTTGTCTCCCCTGCAAAATAAGCTATTTGTTTATTAATTTATTTTTTAGTTTCTTACTTCGTTATTCATTTCCCCTCAGATGTAGTCCCCATAATTCTCCCACCACCACATACCCTTGTGTTCTTCTCTCCTCTGTTTTGACCCCTCTCTTTTCCCCTCCCCTGCTGTATGCTTCAGAGCTATGGTTTGCCTGCAAGTTTTGTCTTTTTCCTGATCCTTTCTTTGGTTTCCTTATAGTTCCCCCAAATAGGCTATTTTAAAGGTTGTTGTAAAGACCAATGAAATAATGAATATGAAGTTGTTTTGTAGACACACAGTGCTATATAAGTTCTTTTTTAAAAAGATTTATTTATTGAGGGAGGGGCGGAGCAACATGGCGGCGAGGAGACGCTGCGAGTAAGATCTCCCATTAAAAAAAGTTAATAGGGAGGAAAAGCGGCAGGTCCCAGTGAGAACCGGGACACGGAAGATAAACGGGTGACGCCAGCAAACTGCCCGAAGAAGAAAGTGGCCATAAAAGAGGACTAGAAGGGAGGGAAGCGCAGAACCCTGCTCCCCTCCCCCGCCCACAGAGGCGGCACTCTCCGACCGGCAGAGAGGAGGAAACAACAAACCAAAACGGCCAACAAGAACAAACGACGCAGCAAGCGGGACTGGGAGTGGAAAGGAACTATTGCAGCCACCACACCCCGTGAACGGGAGCTGAGGCAAACCCTGCAGGATCCGCCGTGGAGGTGAGCTCCAGGCGCCATTGAAGAGAGACCCCGCCCAGGAGGAGACCAGCACCAGCACCAGCACACAGCCCCGGCCGCCCTGTAAGCTTGCTTGGAAAAGCGGCGCGCTGGAAAAGCAGGCGCGGACTACGATCAGGATTGCGCGGAAAAGCGGCGCGCTGGAAAACCAAGTGCGGATCGGAATCGGGATCGCGCACGGAAAAGCAGTGCAGTTGAAAAGCAAACGCGGATCCACATCGCATCTGCCCAGGTCCCTGCGCCTGCGACCTAGGCTTGCGGGGAGACGAGAGGAGGCCCTCACTGAGTGAGCAGGAACCAGGCGCCCAGGCACGGGAGCGGGATTCAAAAGGCGCCATTCCCGCGCCACTGAACTGGGCTACAGCCTGAGTCCTGGAACTGAGGGCTTTGGAACTGAGACCCGGGGCACGAAATTAGGGGCATGGGTTCCCCACGACGGTGGGGCACAAGGCAGACACAGCACCCCAAAGCCGTTGAGGTTTACCCTACCATTCCCGCTCTATTCCCTGTCCCACGGGGTGGAAAATCAGCTCCCCAAGGGCTCCAGGAGAGATCTCTGGCGCCACCTAGCGACTTGACCCAGCAGAGGCGCCTAGAGGAGCCAGTGGCCAGCTGGGGAGTTAGCCCACGCCGGGCCCCTTCCGACCAGTAGTCTGAGCCCACAGGGGGAGCGAGCACCCATAGCCGGGGCAGACCAGGCGCGCAGAAGAGTGTGCCTGAGACCGGACGCGAAGGGAGTGTGTCCCACATCACCATTTTAGAACAGGGACATTTCTTCAGTAAAGACTACCTGCAGAAGGCTTCCTGAGGAGCCAGAGGTGAGCGGGGGAAGTTCGCCCACGCCAGACCCCCTCTGGCCTGCAGTCCAAGCCCAGAGGGGGAGCAGGAACCCACCGCCGGGGCAGACCAGGCGCACAGGGGAGTGTGTCCCCACATCGGCATTTTAGAACAGGGACCTTTCTCCAGTAAAGACTGCTTGAAACTGACAGATGACTCCTGGAGGAACCAGAGGAGAGCAGAGAAGCTCACCCAAGATGCCGGCCAGTCCCAACTACACAGTGTCCCAACGCATACGGCAAATTAGAAAACAGACAGTAGGGAGGAGAAGAACCACACGCAACCTAGCAACTCCCCAGGGAAAAAGCACACCACAAAAAGAAAACCAGCCCCCAGATTGCAACGACAGTAACTTGGAAGAACTTCTGAGCCTTCCAGAAAGAGAATTTAAAATTGCCGTGATTAAAAAACTGACAGAAGTCATAAAGGAAAACAATGATAAGAGAAAAATAATCAATGATCAGAAGAATGCAACTGAGTCCCTAAAGAGGGAAAACAATGGTCAGAAGAATGAAATTGAGTCCCTAAAGAGGGAAGTAAAAGAAATGCAGGAGATCAAAGAATTAATGGAAGAACTAAAGAATTCTGGGAAAAGCAATGAAAGCAGAATAGATGAAATGGAAGAACGAATAAGTACTCTTGAAGACACAGAAATAAAAAGAACCAAAACAGAAAAGGAAAGAGAAGTACGAAGGAAAAAGAACGAAGAAAGACTTCGGGAACTATCTGACTCCATGAGGAAAGGAAATATAAGAGTTATAGGAATACCAGAAGGAGAGGAGAGAGATGTAGGAACAGAGAAAATATTCAAAGAGATAATTGAAGAGAACTTCCCAAATGTGAAGAAGGAGCTGAAAATTGATATACAAGAAGCAAGAAGAACACCAAACTTCCACGACGAAAGGAAAAATACAGCAAGACACATAATAGTAAAGCTCCCAAGAATCCAGGACAAGGAAAAAATAATGAAGCTGGCAAGAGGGAAGAAACAGATAACATTCAAAGGAAAGCCAATCAGGCTGACATCAGACTTCTCCGAAGAAACACTACGGGCAAGGAGAGAGTGGAGGGACATAGTCAACAGACTCCAAGAAAACAGATGCCAACCAAGAATACTCTATCCCGCAAAGCTCTCCTTCCTCTTTGAAGAAAGAATATGGACCTTCCCAGACAAACAGAAACTCCGGAATTTCATTGCAACTAAACCCCCACTCCAAAAAATACTACAAGGAGTCCTAAAGCCAGAACCTCAGAGGGACGAATAACAATGAAAGAAGGCCATAAAAAAAAAAGTTATTAAAAGAATAAATAAATAAAATCAAAGGAAAGACAAACACAATGGCAAATACAGATGGTAACATATCAATATTAACTCTAAATGTAAATGGACTAAACTCTTCAATAAAAAGACACAGAGTTGCAGCCTGGATTAAGAAACAAAACGCAACCTTTTGCTGTCTCCAGGAAACACATTTAGCTACAAAAGATAAAAATAGGCTCAAAGTTAAAGGATGGAAAACAATCCTACAAGCAAATGGACCAAAAAAGAAAGTAGGAACAGCTATACTTATATCAGATAAAACAGATTTCAAACTCAAAAAGATAAAAAGAGACCCCAATGGTCACTACATTATGATCAAGGGGACAATACTTCAAGAAGAAATAACACTCATTAACATATACTCACCAAACGAAGGAGCACCAAAATATATCAGACAACTGTTGTCCTCTCTGAAAACAGACATCAGAGAAAACACATACGTAGTGGGAGACTTCAACACACCACTATCAACAATGGATAGATCAACAAGACAAAAAATAAGTAAAGAAACCAAAGCTCTAAATAAGGACCTAGAGCATTTGGGCTTAACAGACATCTATAGAACACTAAACCCCCAAAAAACGGAGTACACATTTTTCTCAAGCGCACACGGATCATTCTCCAGGATCGATCACATACTGGGGCACAAGACAAACATCAACAGATACACCAAGATTGAAATCATATCAACCATCTTTTCTGACCATGAAGGCATCAAACTAGAAATAAACCACAAAAAGAAGGCAAGGAACTTTCTTACCTCATGGAGATTAAAAACCACACTACTGGAAGACCACTGGACTAATGAGGAGATCAAAGAAGAAATTAAAAAATTCTTTGAATTGAACGACAAGGAGGACACCAATATCCTAAATGTATGGGATGCAGCAAAAGCAGTAATAAGAGGAAAATATATAGCAATAGAAGCTCACATCAAGAAACAAGAAAGAACGCAAAGAAACAACCTAATCTCGAAGCTCAAAGATCTAGAAAAAGAACCACAAAAAAACCCCAAAACCAGTAGAAGAAAAGAAATAATAAAAACAAAAGCAGAAATAAATGAAATTGAAACTAAAAAAACAATCCAAAAGATCAATGAAACCAAGAGCTGGTTCTTCGAAAAAATAAATAAAATAGATAAACCCCTAGCCAGGCTCACAAGGGAAAAAAGGGAGAAAGCACAAATAAATAGGATAATAAATGAAAGAGGAGAAATCACAATGGACACAGCAGAAATCAAAAGAATAATTACTAACTACTATGAACAGTTATATGGAAACAAGTTTAACAATCTAGAGGAGATGGACAAATTCCTACAACTCTACAATCACCCAAAGCTAGATAAAGAAGAAATAGAATACCTAAACAGACCAATTACAAGCAGCGAAATTGAAATGGTAATCAAAAACCTCCCCAAAAACAAAAGCCCAGGACCTGATGGATTTACAAATGAATTCTACCAAACATTCAGAGACGAATTAGTGCCTATCCTTCACAAACTCTTCCAAAAAATTGAGAAGGAAGGGACAATACCAAACACGTTCTATGAAGCCAACATTACACTAATACCAAAACCGAATAAGGACAACACAAAAAAGGAAAACTACAGGCCAATCTCCCTAATGAACACTGATGCAAAAATCCTCAATAAAATTTTAGCTATCAGAATCCAACAATGTATCCATAAGATAATTCACCACGACCAAGTTGGATTCATTCCAGGGGCACAAGGATGGTTTAACATCCGAAAATCAATCAACGTTATCCAACACATCAACAAAAAGAAATATAAAAACCATATGATAATATCAATAGATGCTGAGAAAGCTTTCGACAAAGTGCAACACCCATTC